GAGAAATCTATAAATATATAATTGCGATATACAACAAGCACGTGTATCAGCGTATCAATTTCCTCAAGGCCATGTTTCTAAGGAAAGATTACGTATAATCGATATTCAATAATTTTAACACAGAACAATTAAACTCAATAATTAAGCATAATTCAAAGAAGAGATTTAATTAAAAGAAATTCTTATATATGAAAGATAGAAAGAGAATTAATTTTCAGCAAACGGGGAACGCTGAGACATACGATAGACGTGAAGAAAATTTGATTAAATTTATATATACCATTCGTAAATCTTTTTATCAAAATAATCGAAATAATTATTTAAATGCGTTTCTTTATGCGAAAATAATTAACATTCGTGTTTATTTAAAAATCTAAAAATTCGAAAAATATCAATTGTACGTGGATATTTTTGTGATCCATCCAGTAACTATCCAAGCGAGTGTACAATAAAGTAACCATGTTGAATCCTTATGAAGATCATTATTTGCATTATTTGTAATAATTGCGAAACGCGCAAAGTTTTGTTTCAAAAGCATATCGAAGTACTCACAGAATACGGAACATGCGATATTAACCACAACACAAAGGTTGCTCCAAAGTTTTTAAGTATTCTGTTTGAAATATAGATTATGTACAGAATAATGCAAATAATTCCATCTTATGGCAATTGATGCAGAAAAATTAAAAATATTTTTATTTATATAATTTAGAACCTGCATCAATCGTACAGATTGTATAATATAATCAACATTTAATAATCAGCATTTAAAATTTTTTCTTCAGAGCTAAATTCGTTGCTACAGTCAAAAGTTAATTTTATTCTATTAGCCATAATAATCGATTGAAAATGATTATTTTAACTGCCTGCATGAACTGGCAATGAATTTCAAAGGAATTGAGTGAATAAACGGGAAAAGGATTATAAAGAGATGAAACGTGCTATAGAATCACAATATATGTATATTACTTTCTGTAACATTAAATTATATAATTGTCATTTTATCGTCATTATAATTTATTAATAGTAACATTATATATATTATATATTATATATGTAATTATAATCGTATTATTACTATTATAAATCGGCAATGCATAAATAATCAACATCGTCATAATCTTTTTATATCATCCATTCAATCATATATTAAACTGGAGCTGAATCAAGTGAACGAGCGGAAATAAACACGAATAAACAACTTATTATTTCGACTTATTATTTCGGGAGTGAACGATGCACGATCGCGTTGCAAGTATTGGGCCTTTCACCCTCATTGAAATCGCTTATTTGTATTTGTATCCGTGCTCGCTTCCTTGGTCTAAATCCGGTTTTATACATTTAGACAGAAAGATACGATCGATGTTGGTTCGAGAATCAAAAGCTTTTGCGGAACAATTGGAAATATCGTCCATAAATAGATTTTCTGTTGCATGTGAAAAGAGTGTATAACACTATTATACAACAACATCATTATAGGCACAATCGTTGTCGCTTATATATATATATATATAT